AACTACAAAGAATTATTTTCTTAGCAACTTTCAAATACACAGGTAAGTACTAATTGTAGTCACCATGCTGTACATTACATTCCCAAACTTATTTATCTTGTAACTGGAAGTTTGTATTTTTTGACCATCTTTTTTACCTCTGTGCCTACTTCTCACCTCCTATCTCTGGCAACCACCAATCTCTTCTCTGTATCGATGAGTGTTATCGATGAGTGTTTTTGTTTTTTTTATTTTAGATTCCACATATAAGTGAAATCATATGATATTTGTCTTTCTCTGTCTAACTTGTTTCACTTAGCATAATACCCTCTAGGTCCATCAATGTTGACATTTACTTTCCTTTTCTTATCATTTATTTTCCTTATTTTTATAGCTTCAAATGTATCTGTCACCGCAGGCTGAGGGACTGTCCCCCATGACTCCCCTGGAGTGCCTGTCCATCAACACCTCCAGCCACTGATATTTTGATGCCAATATTTATAAGCTAGGTGTGCTCATTGCTTTTTCTTTTCAGTTATCTTTGCTTCTAAGTCCTTTCAGTGAACTGACCTAAAGAAAATATGTATATGGATGTGTGTGTGTGTGTGTGCGCGCGTGCATTCGTGAATACATGTGTATACCGTGGTTGCCACATTTATCACAGTAGAGCATTAATTGAATGATAGAAAAACATCCAAAGATGCAGTTGAAAGATAAAATTTTCTTAATGACCATGGACATGGAAATGCAGAAATGGAAATATAGAAATAGTGCTGGAGAGAATACAGCATGCTCTGAAACATGGTTAAACTTCCCAGATGCCCAGCCTCCGCTAATGCGCATGCACATGATAGAATCACCCACAGGAGAGAAGGGCTGTTCACTGTAAGAAGCTCTGACATTATTTATGGGGTAGGAGTGGGTGGGAGGAATCTGACTCTCCCACACACCTCACTCTCTGGAGACTCCGAAGACTTCCCGCCCATTCAGTGAGGTGCAAAACAAGCCCAGTAAGTTCTGCAGTGTTTTCTGTGAGTCTGGCTTAAGCAAAGGTTGGTGAGTATCTTCCAGTGGCTCTTTGTTTCAATGAAAGTGTAGATCATAACCACACTTTGCACTTAATTACAAAATAGTTTGGGTTGTTATGAAATTCCTGGCTTAGATATGAAAAAGCCATTAGAGCAAAATTTTTTTAATGGTTTTCTTTTAGAATTAAATATATATATATAAATATTAAGGTTTTATTTTCCCTCTAACCCAGATAATTTAAAAAGTCATCTGTTTTTTTCAGTTCTTTGAAATAAAGTCTAGTTCTAGCTTCTTTCCTTTAATCTCCACAACCCCTTTTCTTCTTTTTGTGTCTTAGAATTTTATGCTACACCGTTCTGATATTTTCCTGATCTCATCTTGCCTTTGAGGCAGGTGGATATAATCTTGCTTTCTTAGATTGTTATTCCTGTTGTAATTTTAGAATTGGCACAACCTACAGCGGGGGTGTTTAAAGGTGTAGTGTTCCCAAATTGGTTTTGAGGTCTGTATGTCCTTCTGTGCTGGGGAAACAGATTCATGCTCTGGGATGCACAGCTCTATGCAATTGATGACGATTGCCTTTCTGTTCCATTTTTGTCGTCACAGGGAAGGTCTTGCATGAGGAACATATTGAGCTCTTGATGGAGGAGTTTGCGTTCCTGAAAAAAGAAGTGGTGGGGAAAGACCTGCTGAAAGGGTCTCTTCTCTTCACAGGTCAGTTTTAGGTGGGATCACAGGTCACGTGTACCTGGTGGGGCCAGGATGCCAGATGGTTATTTCCTAGCTCTCTAGAGAGTGAGCTTGGATTTATTTCTACTAAAGACTCTCTGACTGAGGCCAGTTTAATTTATTATGCACCTACAAACAATAAAAATATCTAATTTTTCTTTCTGTTCTCAAATGAGACTGAATTGCTTGGTGTGCTTGGATAAAAAGTGTATTAGAAATCGTAAGCATTGTTATGCCACTGTCCCCGTCTACTAAGCAGAGTTTTGCCTCATGGAATCTTAACAAGCTGCAGATTATTTTTTCACAGGAAGTTGAAAGTGAAACCTCTCTTTTAAAAAAGGATGGAGGGAAAGGTTCTTGGAGAGGAGAATGTCTCTTTGTGGAGCAAATAGAATATGCTGTCCCCACTTTCCTCCCACAAGTTACAGGGACATTGACTGTGGCCAAAATTTGGATCTACAGCACTATATGTTTGGCTCTTTACTCTGTCTTGGTAGTTCTTTGAGCACCTCCATTAGTAACAGGAAATGAGCCTCCTGGAGCCGCCTCATCTTGTAGTCGCCTTTGGATGGACACCTTGTCTTTCCACACCCTTACCTGGGTTCCTAGTCTGGCCACCTTCCCTGAGAGCTTTCATGAAAGAAATAAAACCCTGATGCGGCCTGGCATTGCTCTTTTCCCCCATTTCTCAATTGGCAAAAATGTATGGGTGGACCTGGTGATTATTATGCTGAGTCAAACAAACCAGTCAGACAAATCCTAATCCAATATGATCTCACTTACTAGTATATGTGGAGTCTAATGATTGATTGAGTAGGTAGTGATTTTTAAATTTATCTTTTTTTGTTTGTTTCTATTAAAAATATTTAATGTAGATATTATTGCAGGTGTCCCCCTCCCGACACCCTTTGCCCACCTCTACACCCGCCTCCCTCTCCCTTGTGCTTCACCAAACTATTGTCTGGGTCCATGGGATATATATATGTGTGTGTGTGTTTTCTTTAGTTAATCCCTCATCTCCTTTAGACAGTCACTCCCACCCACACCCCCTCAGACCTCAGCCAGTATGTCCCGTGTGTCCATGCTTCTGATTCCATTTTGTTCCTTGGTTAATATTGTTCCTTAGATTCCACATATTAGAGAGATCTTATAGCATTTGTCTTCCTTTGACTGGCTTATTTGGCTTAGCATAATAATCTCCAGATCCACCCATGCTGTCCCAAAGAATAACAGTTCCTTCTTTTATATAGCCTCATTGTGTAAATGTACCATAGTTTTTTTTATCCACTCATCTACTGATGGGCACTTAGGCTGTTTCTAGATCTTGACTATTGTAAACAATGCTGTTATAAACATGGGGATGCAAAAATTCTGATTGGTGTTTTAGGATTCTTAGCATATATTCCCAGAAGTGGGATCACTGGGTCAACAGACAATTCCATTTTTAATTTTTGAGGAAACTCCATACTGTTTACCACAGTGACTACTCCAGTCTGTATTCCCACCAGCAGTGCACAAGGGCTCCCTTTTCTCCACATCCTCGCCAGTACTTTTTCTTAATTTATTGATAGTAGCCATTCTGATAGGTGTGAGGTGGTACCTCATTGTAGTTTTAATTTGCATCTCTCTGATGATTACTGACTTTGAGCATTTTTTTTC